AGGTGCACATCTCTTCTGAAATGGGGCCGAAGGGATTGACACTTTAAAATCCCTGTGCTCACGTTCCTAGGTAGGTCGTTTTCCGACGGCCCTTCTTCGAACGCAGCGGATGGGTCTCGTTGTTCTGCTCGACGGGACCCAGGACATCAACAATCAGCTGGGAACGAGGCTCCCAGCTGTACAACGCCGGTGGATAAGCCACGCCAGCGGACGAGGTAACTTTTCCGGACGTCCTTCACATCGCGGTGGTTCAAAATGCGCTCCACCAGAAAGCGTTGACCACCGCCTGTGTTCACCAAAGGATGTGGTGGCGGTGGTAACACCTGATCCGGCTTGAGGGCCCGATCAGCTTGATGTTCAGGAGCTGAACCGTGTAACCGATTATTTACAAAATGACCTGGCTCGTGAACAGGCTCGGCGTTATGAGCTCGAGGATATTGTAACAATTCTTTAACGCACGATCGTTCGGACAATCGTGCCGCTTTTGCGTTTGCGCTGCTTTAGAACGAACACTAGACTCGTTCTCTTCGTTACGAGCGGGCTGCACCCCGTCGAGTCATCGCTGAACTGCGTGAACAGGTCGCTTCTCTAGTCGACCCGGCTGGCTCGTTGAAACGGGACCACGCGAAGGTGGCCTTGGCTCTCGACCGCGGAGGTGTTCTTCGCCTCTCGAAACGGGCTCGTACTGATAGTACGGGCGGAGGCGACCAACATAAAACGTAGGATGCGTACGCATCCTGCAAGGCAGTTCAATCGTGTATGCGTTGCCCATTCGGCGAAACACACAAAATGGAATGATGTAATTTGGCATTAATTTACTGCTGCCCACGGTTGTCGCTGCGTGTTTCAGTAGATTTACTTTAGATAGTAAACCTGAGTTTCCTTAATTAATGAAAGAACATTTGCTCTTCCATGTTTGTCTGTGTTTCTTTTCTGCTTGTCAATCTCATCAGCAATAGAGTCTTAAACAAAGCGGACAAACGCTTCGCGAGTCAGCAGAAATTCCTCTGCTGATTTACTTTTATCCGCAGGAGTGCGCTTCGTGTGCACTGCTGGAAGGACGTCTTCTTCACCAGTGAGAGTGTCATCGTCCTCACTTTGGCAGTCATTGGCGATGCTGAATGTACCAGCATCATCTTCATCATCGATATCGATCGCGTCGACATCGGCATCCATTAAGTTGACACCATTGTCGACGTGTGATGAGTAAGAACCAGATCGGTTTTTGTTCGAGCGAGTCCACCCCCCCTTAAACTAGAGTCACGCTTTAAAAAGGCGGGTAAACGTGGATGGCGTAGGACATTCACAAAGAACGGTGTATGCGCTGTCGACGCATGCACCGAGTGGTTGATGGCTATTTTGCCATCGGCAAGAACTCACTCCAGCTCGTAAACGAGTGTACACACTCTCGAAGTATCTCTTCGAGGACGCGGTTGACGCGTTCCGTCTGACCATCTGTTTCTGGATGGTCAGAAGTCGACATCTTCAAACGTGTTCCAAGTGAACGAAACACGGATGCCAGAACTCCGCTGTGAAGCGGAGGTCCCTATCAGACACGAGTTCACGGGGTAACCCGTGAAGTCGGAGGATAGTGTCGATGAAGACACGAGCACAGCTCTGGGCTGTGATTGACTCCGGTACAGCAACAAGATGTAACGTCTTGCTGAATCGATCAACAAACACAAGAGTACTATAATTCTTGTAATCGTCTTTGTGAAATGCAAAGACAAAGTCCATCGATACAGACTGCCAACACTCTGCCGGAATCGGTAGAGGCTACAATGTTGCGCGCGATGAAGGACTAGGCTTCACCCGTTGACAAACTTCGCAAGCGCGAATGTATTTGCACACAAACTCATACTGGAGGGGCCAGTAGAAGTCACGAATTACCGTGAGGTAAGTCTTTTCTCTACCGCGATGCCCACTTGATGGGGCAGCGTGACACTCATACATAATGCGCAATCGCAAAACATTGTGAGGTGGAACGATGACACTAGGTGTGTCGCCGTTGACTGCTGTAGAGTACAGCATTCCATCACAAACAGAATACCGTTTGGTTGAAGAGCGGTATTGAGACGACAAGCTTTTCAAAGCTTGATTACACGGATTGGATACGTAATCCATCAACCGCAGAAAAAATCATCTTCTGCGTATGCTTTTCGCACGTCGTCGAGCAGATTTAACAACGGAGCACTCACTGTTAGTTTCGCTACAGTGGGATCAACCCTACTGTTAGGTTGAGCAATCGGCTCGAAATCGGGCCGACGCGAAAGAGCATCAGCGACGACATTAAGCTGTCCTTGATGATAATCGACGGAGAAGTTGTACTCCGCGAAGAAAGACAGCCACCTCGCCATTCGTTGCGAGAGGTGTGGACTGTTTACGGCCGTGCGTAATGACGCATGGTCGGTATGAACGATGAAGGGCCTATCTCCTAAGATATATACTCGAAACTTAGCCAGTGCATATTTCATGGCAAGAATTTCCTTGTCAAGCACTGAGAAATTACGCTCAGCTTCTTGCAGCTGACGCGATTGATAACAGACGACGCGCTCAACGCCGTCTGAGTCGTACTGCATTAACGCGCAGCCGATTGCAAAATCGCTGGCGTCACAGACCACATGAAATGGTCTATCCTGATCTGCAATCGCCTACGCAGACAATTGCACCAAGCTTTTCTTGATGCCGCAAAAAAAGAGTGCTGACACTCAGCACTCCATGGCAACCTCTCTTTCTTCTTTAATGGACGAGAGAGATGTACAGTCATCTCGGCATAGTTGTGCGAGTATTTGTGCAAATACGCTGCCAAGCCAAGGAGCCTTGAAGCCCCTTTACTTCGACTGTCACAGTCCAGTCGCTAATGGCTTTGATCTTTCCGGACCAAGGCGTACGCCGTTTTTACCCACGATGCAGCCAAGAAGTGGTATTTCGTTCGCTGCGAGTATATACTTCTTGAGGTTCGCGAACACCTCATGCTTTCGCATTAGCGTAAGAGCCTTTCGGACGTGGATTCTATGAACCTCCACGTCCGTCATTCCATCCATAGCCCGGATTTGGACGAAGACATCGTCGAAGTAACTCGGCGCGAAGTCGCGCACCGATCGCAACAGATTCGTAACATATCTGTTAAACGTTGCGGGGGCGTTACTTAGTCCCTGTGGCATTACTAGCCACTCCCAGAGCCTACCACCAGGGGTGCTCAATGCTGTGTAAGGGATATCCCATTCACGCATGAGGATATGATAGAATCCATCCATCAAATCCATGGATGAAAAGATGTTCCTTTTTGCCATACCATGTATGATGACATCCTTTCTTGGGATCGGCGTTTGAGCCGGTACCGTTGAAGCATTCAATTTGTTGAACACGTGCACTATCCGCCACCCTACTGTGACCTTTCGCACACAGAAGGTCGGAGAGCTGTGTGTAAGGATGTTGATTTGCTCATATGAATATCCGCTAAACGATCGGCAAAGAATTTGTCGATCTCTGTAACGTGTTCATGAGGCAGTGGCCATTCCTTCATGACACAGCTGTTCAAACCGGGTTTCAGCTTGATCTCCTGCTGAGTGCCTTTGTCCTTAGGCAGCTCGCATGGCACGGATTCAGGGAAAACATCCCCGAATTCTACTAAATCCTTATAGAAAGGAATTGTCTTTAAAGTCTCCCAAGACTGAGACGTGTATCGATCAATATGGGTCTTCTCATCGAGGACACTCTCGTCCATCGATGAGATACTGAAAACCCGTTCGTTATCAGCAAACACTTGTGCCGACCGAATATCGGCGACGTAATCGTCCTCTCTGACGAGTACGCAGATCTGCTTGATCTTGTCTTTACGCATATCTCGGGAAGAATTTTGTAGATTCTAGCGTTGACAACTTGACTGCCTCCGAAGCTGACTTTGGGGGCGTACCCAGATCAAGTGTATAAGCGCCTACACTTGATCAGTCATTCACTAAGACATTTACTGTTTCGGTGATTTTGGAAACACATCCATAGGCGGTTGGGGATCTACACCCTCAACATCACTCTCTCGGGATTTATCACTCCCAGGAACGCTGGAACTTTCTTCCAATACGTGTACTGACTGTGGGTGCACTACCACAGTCAATTCCTCTTCGATCGACTCTCTCTCAGTCCATCGGCCTTGCTTTACGATCGAATATCTGATAGTCGACCTCGCTTCAACATGTTTTTCGTTCTGAACAACACTAATCTTTCTTCTTGGATGCGCCCTGCTTGGTGTGCATCCGTGTTCCAGTTCACTCGATCTCTTCGAGTGGTGAACTTTCGGCGCAGCCTGTGTCTCTTCACAGGTGCCGGAAGCTGGTTCCACAGTGTAGTGGCCTTCTACACTTTGATCTTGTCCAATCGTACTAACGACCGTACCACAAGTGAGGCCATCGCACTCACTCGTAGTACATTCACACGCCCGCTTGTGGACGCTCCAAGACGTTCATCAGATGGCCATCCGATGAACAAAGGGCCGGCAACTTCACGGATCGATGCTGCCAGCTGACCCATGGCTGTTTTTTTCGAAGCCATGGCAGACCAAGGATGACATGAACTTTTTCATCCAAATAAAGTACGATAGAGTCATCGTCGTACTGCTTTTCTTCTATCGTGTAGTGGATTCCCACTGCACGTTTGTTCACTGTTACAGATGCGCCTGTAGCAAGGCACACCGTCATCCTCGTTAAAGGGAACTCTCGCTCAACATAGTTGAGACTACTATCCCTTAGCGACTGGCGTTAAATAAAACTGTTCGACGCCCCCAAAGTCAACTAGGGCGCGAAGTGACATTCCACTTGTCACTTCGATCTTCGAAGTGATGAGGAGACTCCTCATCACTAGGGGCAGTAACACAGCGACTGTGTGTTAGGAGCAATCTTCGTCAAGAGTCCTGCAAATTCTCTTGACGTTGCTGAACCAGCAGGGTGCTCCGCCCCTACTGCCCCTGACCGTTTTCTTACGGTCAGACTTGCTGTAGCTGTTTAGCGACATGGTCGGACCCACGCCTCGGACCCTTCCTTGGCCAACGGCGGTCATCATGTCCTGTTTTCGGACGTGTTGCAGTGCTCGGGACACTACACTCATGAGCGTAGTGTCCAATCTTCTGACAGCGATGTCATATTGCCGTTCGTTTGATACTCAGAGAGCGAGAGTTCTTGCTCTCGATGTAACAGAGGTCCATTGGTTCGGGACCTTCTGTTTCCTGTCGCCTCGTCGGACGATAGTTTGACTAAGTAGCCTGAGACTGTCTCAGGCTGAAGTCTTCTTGTTCCGCATATACTATCGCCCTTTCCAGCGTGTGGAAGTCCTCTCGGAACATGTAGGTCTTCACCGGCCCATCCACAAGGCCGTAGATGAACACGTTGATGGGCGTGTGCTCACCAACAGGGTTCTCCGTAACGCTACTTGCAAGGTAGCGCAGGTGTTGTGCGTAAGCGTGCACGTCACGCTTACCTTGCTTCTACAGCCTCAAGAGTGCAAAGCGTGCTCTGAACCCGGCTCTCGTCGGCTCAAACATCTATTTAAGCCGAAAATTTAAGATCTCCAACGACTCAAACATGTTTGGGCCGTGAAGCTTGAGCCCTAAGGCCCAAGTCTTTGCACGTCCTGTCAAATTTAAAAGAGCGAAGGTGACTTGCATCTCGTCACCCTCGATGTGACGGGCCCTGATGGCATCGTCTAACTCGACGAACCATCTTAAAAGGGAATCGATGACGATTCCCTTGTACCTAAGATATAAATCTTCAAGGTTTCGGGTTGACACATGTGCGTCGGCCCGCCCATCGAATGATAAAAACCTTGCTGCTGTAGCAAGGCTATCTTCGTTCGTTCGACAGCAAGTTCCCCTTGTAGTAACTTGTTGATGGCAGCATGTTGCTGGTCTCCGCTTAGAGACTCCAACATACTGCTGATGGCGGGTTCGCCCATGAGCACACTCATGCGGCCGAATACCTCCTTCTAAGTCAATCAGGGTGGGGAGTAGCCTTCACGTGTGACGAGAAAGCTGTCGTCTTCTACGTCCAACATGATCATGTTGGACGGACACTAAGTAGTCGTTGGACGGAATACGAAGTGCTACCAGGTGTAACGGGCTACCCTTTTTGCTTGGGGTGCCGCGAGACTTCACGTAAACTAAAGTACGTGCAGAGGAAGCTATCTAC